AGCCAGCAAACTATCCTGATGTCTGGCTCCAAAGCAATTATCAACTAACCTACCTACCCCCAGGCTCAAACAGAGACAGTAATATCATTCCTGGCAGTGCTAGTGTTCGTATCTGCTTCTGGGGCCCTGGTTCCTCAGGCACATCATGATACCCACCATTTACTCATGCATCCTGATCCTATCAGCAGTAGTCATGAGAGGCAGGACAGAGTTGCTGCTTGCTGCTATTTGGCCCCTTTCACTGCTCAAATCCAGAGCTGCCTCAGTCCCGTAGTCCGTTTAAAGTCAAAACCTTCAGAAGTCATCCTATGCCAAGACCTAACTAACCTAACCTACTGAGAAATGAACAGCTTAATGGTGTAGGAGTGCTTTTAAATGCAGGGATCCCTTTGGTGTAGAGATTGGTCTGAAAGCTAATTTTAGGGAAGCCATGAACTCGCAAAGGAACCCGTTTCTCCACCTTATTCTCACCCCCCCCCCCCCCCCCAAAAAGCTGCTCCAGTTGCCTTTAGTGAACAACAAAGGAATATGGCTCTCTTGTTTTTCTGTATTTGTAACTTTAGACTAATTCTGTTCAGGAAGTATAAAGCAGATTATAAATGAGTAAGTACAGAGCGCTAGGATGTCACAACTAAGCTTTAGTTATATCTGACTTTAATATCTTTTAATTATTTTTATATTTATATATATATTTATTTTTTTTTAGAATCCAAGAACGAACGTATTCACTGTGGGCTCACTTGTGGAAAAATCGTGCAGATTACCTGAATCCTTTGTATCGACCTGATCACAGTAAAACCCAAGGGACCCTGTGCCCTCAGATGGCTCCATGCAACTTCTTGTACAAGTAGGTAGAATCACTTGCTACTAAGAATTGTAGGATGGTAGGATGTGTTTGTACAGAACAGAGTGCCTTTGTATTTAATATTTCTTATTCCATAAGGTGACTTTTAGAGAATTCAGCCTCAGATGCTATGTGTTTATTCCTTGTATGCTCATAATCAGCCAACACCTCTGCACCATTTCACAACAGAGTATTAGTCTGAAAAGAAGCTTAAGATTAAAGCTATATTGATAGTTGTGTGTCCTCATTTCATGGTTACTTACTTCTCCCACTGAGAAACGTCTCTTTCAGTTCTGTTCTCATCTGCAGCTTCCAAATTTCAACTTCTTCCATTCCATGATTTTGTGGTATTTATTTGGATCAACTGGTGTCAAAAATAAAAAGAGACATTTCAAGAAATGATAGGGTTTCATTGCTAAAACAAGTGTTTAGTAAAACAAACAGCAGAATTCCCCAATGTCGTTGCTATACCTCAAAGAATAGTTTTATATTTTTTTTCAAAATGTAGTATCATGATTTTAGAAATAATTACTCAAGTCAGAATGTCAATAGTAATAATTGTGACATGAATCTTAACAAAGATTATGAGAACTTGAATAGAAATTAATGAGAACTGTGATTTAGGTAAAACTGTCTAATTTGTTTTCTAGTTGCAAGTAAAAAGTACCTGTTAAAAGTCAATAAATATCCTAAATGACAGAAACAGAATTCTTTCATGTCTGCTGTTCCAGGTCACATCCACTTTAAAACAACTTTAAAATAGTCACTAATAGTATTCTTTAGGATAGTGGGATTTATAAAAGAACTATTGATACTGCATATCCTCCATCGGATGAGTAATCCTGTTGATTTTAATGGAACTACTTGGGTGCATAAAGATTTCCGAGCATGAGCTATCAAATGATAAACTTAAAAGGGAACATGACTTAAACAGTATACTACTGGGGTAGGAATAATTAGGTATGTGTGTGCTCCACCAAGGAGCATGCACGTACTCTGAAAATCTCTGTCAGCAACTTGGCTGGACAGCTGCAGCTGACAGCAGGCCTCCTGGTTACTTAACATGTCTGGCGAACTTCTTACGTGCTCAGAGCGTGACCATGGCCATGTATTGCCAGGAAGACAGAAGATGGGAGGAGTGCTACAGTAAGCTATAGACTTACAGTTTAAATCCTTTCCTCCTGAAAACAAAACATCAACTCAGCTGTTTAAATAAAGGTTTGTCAAACAATTCCACAGAACAAGGAAACTTGCCAACATATGCATGTCATGCTATTTCCTTAGGCCAGTTTAAAACGTCAGTTTAAATTTCAAGAGAATAGGACACTCTTCTATACAGTGGAGGAAAAAAAAGCCTGTTAATTGCTGCACCTCACCACTACCACCCTCACCATCCCCTCTCCTGCCCCAGACAAAAACAAGCACATAAAATTTCAAAGTTGACTTCACAGGAAGCAGTTGAGAACTAGGATTATGAAAAGCTGCCCGCAACCTCAGCTATTTTATAGGTACCATTCCTCTAAAGCCCAGAGTGTAGAATAAGAAAATAATACAGCCAAAACCTGTGTTCACTGAACACAGGTGAACCCACAACCGTGGGATCCAAGTCCAAAGTACACTCACCTTTCTTTCTGTTGTGCATCATAACTGGCTCAAGCTGTTTATGTCCAGAGTTGCATCTTCAGGACAGAGCCAACACAAATGAACCATATTCATATCATATTGAATGAACTTAGTGTATGCACTCTAACAATGATTAATTCGTGAATGGATCATTTAGGACAACATGTGTCTGGAAAAACAAATAAAAACCCCTGTGTATTTCAGTCTTCTCATGCCACCTCACCAAATGAGAAAACTGCCCAGGTCAATTGCTTTCTGTCAATTCCAGGTTCTGGAGTGGTATGTACAACCGCTTTGAAAAGGGGCTGCATCCTCGACAGTCAGTTACTGATTACCTGATGGCAGTGAAGGAGGAAACTCAGCAGCTGGAAGAAGAGCTGGAGGTCTTAGGAGAGGTAATAAACACTTGATGCCTCAGACTTAACTGATGGTAAATGAAACCCAATTCCATTCACTGCAGAGTCCCCTACATGCTACATCCTTTTTCACCATGAGGATGTTCAGCTGTCATCTTTGCTCTCACAGAAATTACTGTTTTACATTTCAGACACAACAGTGGACTTTCTTTAGGGATAAAATTTAACCTGTGTTGGTACACAAATACTACTCCTGAAAGGAATTTTATAACCTTCTGTAACTCAGAAGGAATTGTAACTTAGGCTGTTGTAATTCAGCATCGGCTTGCGATACACTGTGCATTTCTCTTACTCCATAAATGCAAATAGGCAGATTTAAGGGTGCAAATTGGGTTAGGCTCTGAACTTATTTTATTTAAAAACAAAAAAAGGCAGAAACAGGTAAGAGGATTAGCAGGCCCTAACTATATCAATTTAATATCTATTTTTATCTTTATTTCAGAGATTGGCGAACCTTCAGAAATCACAGTTAAATGATAATAAAGCCAAGAGTAAGCAACAAGACGAAAGCAAACATTTAGGGCTTTCTACTTCCAGCAACAGCTTAGCTAACACTCCCCAGGAGTATAGCAACGATCTGAAATCATTCCCATCCCGGAGCCCTTCACAAGGGGATGAAGAAGATTCAGCCTTGATTTTGACACAGGACAATCTGAAAAGCTCTGATCCCGACCTCTCAGCTAACAGTGATCAGGAGTCTGGTGTGGAGGACTTAAGCTGTAGGTCTCCAAGTGGGGGTGGCTGCTTGCCTAGTGAAGACAGTGGCAAGGATTCAGATGAGGCTGTGTTTCTGGCGGTCTGAAATACCTCCACAACAGTGAGGACCCAGATTAAGTCAAATCCCTCGCAGCCTGGAACGAGATCTTTTCAACAGATGAAGAATGGGAGTGGTGTGTGGCCTAAAGAAATAATCCAAAGAAAGGGAACTGTGCAATTGTGTAAGTAAAGATCAAAGCGGAACAAGCCATTATTAAAGACATAGTGCTAAAGAAAGGTAGTATCTGCTGTTGTATTTAGTTAAGCCAATGTGGTATTTATCGATGCTGTATGTAATTATTCCTTACTTTGTACATTTCCATAATTATTTGTTGTACAAAATATTAATTCTTCTCCAAAGAAGTGAAATTCCAAACTACTCTCTTACACATAGGGACAAGGTTGAAGATTCCTTAGTTTTAGGCTTACTCGTGAATCAGTCAAAACTTATTTTTGTAGAGCTTTTTTGCCTTCAGACAGTGTGCATATTCTTCACTTTTTTTCATGGGAGGTGTTAAATTTTGAATTCCAACAAATACTTTGCATATTCTCCTATTAGAATCCTTTGCAGCAAAGTAAAACTTATCAAATGGATGTGCTTGCTTAGGGGATAAATGAAGCTCTGATCCTGCAAAGAAGTCCTTCGGCAAGCAGCTGCTGCTGCTGCGTATGAATGCACCCCCTTTGTAACGATATAATATTTATAAAGCCTTCCTGGAGAAGCACCCCTTTATAATGATATTCCATTATAATGCCTAAGTACATTAGACAGTATGCTCTAGCATCTTTATGTTTTATTATCAAGTTAGATTGTTGATACCTTACCCTTGCTTCAAACCAAGGTAAGATATAAAGGTAAAATTTTAAAGGTAATAAAGCCCCAAATATCTCCAGCCTATTTTAATTCCTACTTGAAAATGTTTTATATGGGTAGGAGCGAAGTACATACACAGCAGAAACAACAGGGAATCCTTACAAATATCACTTACGGAAGCATCACTGAATTCAGAACTAAAGAAAGGTTATGCCCATAAAGGAACTGTTATAAAGAATATTATTGTTCAAAATAAGCCAACCACAACCAAGGCTGGGGCTTTTTTATCCTCACACAAGATTTCCCTGTCAGTATTTGCCCACCTGAACGGAGCATGCACTACTAATTTAAGACTGATTCACCATGACAGGAATTTTAATCTCAGTGGAAGATTTTTCATATTTTTTAAGAGTAGGAGTAATAGCTTTCATAACCATAGGTACAGAAGAAACCACTGAAAAAACTGGGGACTCCTTATCAGGGACAGTTGCAATAGGACACAGGGGAATGGGTTCAAACTTAAACAGGGGAAGATCAGGTTAGATACAAGGAAGAAGTTCTTTATGGTAAGGGTGGTGAGACACTGGAACAACTTGTCCAAGGAAGTTGTGAATGCTCCATCCCCAGCAGTGTTCAAGGGCAGGTTGGACAGAGCCTTGGTTGACATGGTTTAGTGTGAGGTGTCCCTGCCCATGGCAGGGGGGTTGGAACTAGGTCCTTTCCTACCCGAACTATTCTATGTTTTGAAACTTACTAAAAAGGCTTTCATTTGCGGTCTGAATTCTTCAAAGGTTTTATCTTTTTTTTTTTTTCCTTTTAATTGAAGCAAGCAATTAAAATATATTTCATATGGCTGCTCTTTCCTGCTTGAAGGCAATGTGGTATTGAACTCTAGTAAAGCAAAGCAGTAGTAACGCAAGTCTACTTAATTGACTGCATTTCATACGACTCCTTCAAATACAGACTTACAGGCAAAATTAAATTATATAAATATACCTCAACTTAGAAGCTTTAATTATTCACTCTGCTGTTACAGAATGACTTTTCATTCTGTTCTGTGAACTTTTATTATTAAAAATGAGTAGGTAAACTTCAGCATTATTGATGCCCTCTTAAGGGAGCTGCTGTCTTTGAACAAATAATTCAATTTCTAACACCAAGATTTAACTTAACATTATCCTGGCAAGGCCAGATCCTCAATTTGATAAATCACTGTATGTCAAATGGAACAACAAATACAGCTAGGATCTATACTCTGTTGAGAATCTAGCCTTCTGGGTTTTAATCTTTATGATTTTTTAATAAATGAAAGCCCTGATTTTAATTGCACTTTTTAGAATGTTTCATATTTTGAATATAGCCTGTAAAATTTATGGTATTAAAGGAGACTTTGAACGGGGTATTCTCAAGCTCAAGAAACATACCGCAGAGTCAGAAATGAAAAAACACACAAATATTTTGCCTAAAAATGTGTTTGAAAAGGGGCAATATTACTGCAACCTGTGCAATATTATTGCATTCTTGAAATGTTAAATTATGTATGATGCTATTGTGTCCTATTAGGCATGTCTAGAAATAAATGCAGAACAGCAATATATGCAAATTCTAAGTGCTGTCTTCACGTCGCTTATGCAACTCTTTGTAACTAGCTTTACAGCTAAAATACCAACACACTAGCATTTTATATTAAGCATTTACTTTGCAGCCCTCTGTGATTTTGCATTAGCTACTGCAATGTGTGTAACTGTGGCATTATTAGCCTGCTGCAAAATACTTTTAAATAAATATTATGCTATTTCACACCAGTGAATGAAACCAAGGTTTGCTTTCCCACTTTCTGCAATATAGTTCTTCACTTACTCAAGAGTAATTTTGTCACCAAGATCAAAGAATTTCTGTATCTTCCTTAATTCAATATTTGAATACAGTAGTTTAAGCTGTGGAGGAATCTACAATTGATAATGAAGAACACTAAGGCTCCTGTCTACTCAATTATTTATACGGGAGCATGTTTAAAACCTTTATTATTTTATTTGATTTTTAAGGAATGTGAAAAAGAAGGGATGAGAAAACCACATTATATGAACTACACCGATTTCTTGTCACTCAGAGGGTGCTCCCCTCTGCTGCAAGTCCTTGCAAATTTGGCGTAAGACCATTGTAGTTTGAAAGAGGACACACATGAACACAACCACTGGAAAGTAAGAATGAGAAAAGCATTATAGATTTCTGTTGTGTAATGCCAGCCTCACTAGTTTCAGACTGCTCTTTAGTATGAAAATATGCATCTAAAGACACTGAAGGCAATGGGATCAAACTACTAAAGTTTTCGCTACAGAAGATCATAATCTAAAGAACAGAAAGATCATTGTCACAGCTACAGGCTGAGCAGAGAAGAGATTCAGAGCAGCCCTGCGGAGAAGGACTTGGGGGTGTTGGTCGATGAGAAAATGAACATGAGCCAGCAGTGTGCACTTGCAGCCCAGAAAGACAACCGTATCCTGGGCTGCATCAAAAGGAGCGTGACCAGCAGGTCTAAGGACGTGATCCTGCCCCTCTGCTCTGCTCTTGTGGGATCTCACCTAGAGTATTGTGTGCAGTTCTGGTGTCCTCAACATAAAAAGGACATGGAACTGTTGGAACAAGTCCAGAGAAGGGCCGCAAGGATGATCAGGGGACTGGAGCACCTCCCATATGAAGACAGGCTGAGAAAGTTGGGGCTGTTCAGCCTGGAGAAGAGAAGGCTGTGTGGAGACCTCATAGCAGCCTTCCAGTATCTGAAGGGGGTCTATAGGGATGCTGGGTAGGGACTCTTCCTTAGGGACTGCAGTGACACGACGAGGGGTAATGGGTTAAACTCACACAGGGGAAGTTTAGATTGGATATAAGGAAGAAGTTCTTTACCAAGGGTGGTGAGGCACTGGAATGGGTTGCCCAGGGAAGCTGTGAATGCTCCATCCTTGGTGGTGTTCAAGGCCAGGATGGACAGAACCTTGGGTGACATGGTTTAGTGTGAGGTGCCCACCACATTCTTTGAAGATAGGGGCAAGCCAGAGCATCAGTTTACACATCTTTAAAGATGCTTGGTGACACAAACTAATAGCAATTAAAACCCAGCAACAAGGAGGTAGCCTTTTCAATGGAGATAAGCATTTTGTCACTGTTGACCAGCTAACTGAATGTTTTTATGCAGATGCTGCCCTGATCTGTCTACAAGTCATAAAGTTTATCACAAACATCAGCTGTGGCAATGGGGTCCCTCCATGTGCAGGGTAACAGCGGAATGTAGCTTTTAGGGTGGCTGGTCACCCTTACACTCCATAGTGCAGAGACAAGTAAACACCACAATGACAGCAAAATCCTCCAAGGATGGGTAAGTCACAGACAAGTCATCTGGGAAGGGAGGAACATAGAGCGGGGTAAGTAAAAAGTAGAGTAACTTACCACAGTATTAAGACTACTGAATAATGTGCCAAAGACCTAGGGCTGAGTAAACAGCAAAGCCAGAATTCAGGGAGACCAGAAACATTACCAGAGAGTGGGGCTATGAGAAGGAAAGGTAAAATAAACATTCAGCTTTAGGTTATTTAAATTGCCAGTAAAGCATCTGGAAGCAGGAAATCAAATCATGTTAAACCTTAAAATAAACTTTTAGTATTTTAATATAAACCATTCAGAAAGGAAGCTAATGAAACCTTTACAGGTCCACCAGAATTGCTACGACTGAGTTCAGGCAAGGGCACATTTTGAAGTTTGCTGGTTGTCAAGGTTATTCAGATTGGTTTACTCTGTTTCTGAAGACTAAAGAACATGGTTCTTTATGTTAAAGTATTTTCATATTATATAAATAAGTTTGCTTTGTAGCTTACTACTGAATATAAATTTGATCTCTACAGGTATGTGACCAAAAGAAGGCATTTACAGAAGCAGTAGCCAGAGATGCAATACGAGTTTTCAAAGCCCATTTTAGTGAAGGTGGCTCTAAGAATTACTGCTGTGGAAAGGGCTAAACAGGAAAAGCTCAAATCGCTACATGCAAAGATCATAAGGTTTGTTGTTGAATAGTTTAATGCACCCATTTCCAACGCAGTTCTGTACCCAACCAAAGAGTCCTGCAATGCCCAACTCATTATGCAGGTTAGACAATACAAGGCATCTTAAAAATCCCAAAGCCTTTATTTGCAAATTGAACACATTACAGCATTTAAGGTTCAGAATAACAGACACAATAAGGCTGTGATAACTGACTTAACTTTGCTGCCAGAGTTTTAATTCAATTTTACCTGAAGTTCTCTTAAATCTCTCATTTAGAAAGATTTCTCATCTTTGAAGGAAATAGAAAGAAACCGGACATAAACAAGACTAAAATATTTCTAACTTCCACATCTGGTCAAGGTCTAAAGTGGCAAATGTGCAGAAGTATGTACAGAGCAAATAACAGAACTATAGTAGATCATTAAATACTACTTTGAACTAACTTTAGTATAGTCTACGGCTTGCAGTGGTGGCTAGCATAGCTGTACATACCTGCTAATCCCCATCTTTCAGAAAGGTTAGCATCTCAAATACACTGAAATCTAGAAACAGCTTTCTTCTATAAGCAGTAGCAGAATGTACCATTAACAGCTGTATGCAGGATCACTCTAAGATGAAATCTACTTGATTTTCAACTTGTATTTTGAAATTTCTCGTCCGCGATAGCATCAATTACAATTGCTATATACAGAATTCTCTTCTGATTTAACTAGTCACTTAACTCTGGGAGGAACAAGAGGTCTAAACTGAGACAAGAAAACATTCAGCATCAAGATCAGGTATTAAAATTAAGCAAAACCCAGACTCAATTAGCAGTTACAATACAGAATGTACCTTCACCCCAAACTGCTGCAACCTCATAGACAAGCTACCTCCTTTACTCTTGTATTTCTTGCTCATTTACTTCACTTTTCCACTTGGCAGAACACCTCAGCATGAGCATGACACAGTGCAAGGCTCTTCAGAAACAAGACACTGTATGTACCCTATTATTCCAGTTATCAGAAGAGTTCACTTGACACATCTCAAAGGATTATAGAATATGCTTCCAACAGCAGCTGCCACTCTTTTACACTTCATAGGGAATTGTTTAAAGCTGGATTTACATCTACATGCCACATTTTGGCCAAGGTAAGGAGTGTGCTTAACAGTGAACAGGGTGCTAGAAACCAAAAACCGTAACTCTGTTGGTAGAATGTTACCAATGTTCCAAGTATTCTGGTGAAGGTATGAGGATTACCTACAAGAAAACATGTTCCCATTGGCACAACCAGTGTAGAAGTACAAGAAAAGAAAGCAAACCAACCAACCAGCAGCTAGTTGGCTTATCCTTTACAGGCCAGGAACAGGCTGGCCATAATTGCATGTGACAGGATACCTGTAGCTAACCCAGTAAACCACTGTTGAATACAGAGACTTCTTTTGTAGAGGATGGGTCTGTGACTGCAAAAGGGTCTAAAAAATAGTGTGTGTGTATGTGTGTGTGTGTGGGGGGGGGAGGGTGGGGAAGAACCCTAACAGGAACAGCAATATCAGCTATAGAATAGAAAGAGAGGAAACAGAAGACCTTGAACTTTCATATATCCCTGAACACCAAACACTGTACTAAGAACTTGCATTGAAGAGTGTAATTTTCTTCTAGACATTCCTCTGCTATCGTCAGGACTCCACAG